GTCGATATATAAAAAGATCCAAACATTTAGGTATTAGGCAGTCTCCATATTTAATTTATAATGTATTATGAACATCTGCCATGAATGGTTTACTTATTAAATGTCATACTATCTTTTTTAAAAAATTAAAAAGATGTTAAGTGTTCAAGAGTTAGTCCTAGAACAGCAACTCCATAGTCAATGCACTCAGTCTTCTCCAGTCTTTCTGCTCTTCCACTGGCTTCCCCTGCGGTGTTGAGCCATGATCCAAGATGGCTGTTGTGCCTAAGAATAGATACTAGATGGTAGTTTGTGCACATTTTTACCTTCACTAGACAATCCTAAATTGTTACATATTAGTTATAGAAAAGACCACAATCTTTTCAATCACATGTGGAACATTGTAAAATATTGACTATGAACTAGGCCACAAAGCAAATCTCAACACATATCAGAGTCATTATTGCACAGGCCACTTTTTCTAACTAGAATGCATTTAAATTAGAAGTTAATGTACAGTTGAAAATTTTGTGACAGATTTTAAAAAAAATGGATGAATCAAAGAAGAACTCAGCTATATTCAAAATGAAGTGAAAATGACTTATAGTCATATTTCTGGTATACAGCTAAAGTTGTACTTAATGGAAAAGTTATAACCATAAAAGCATATGTGAGAAGTGTTTGACTCAAGAATAGAGGAGGAGCACGAGGCTGGCTCAGTCAGAAGAGTATGCGACTCTTGATCTCAAAGTCATGAGTTTGAGCCCCACAGTGGGTGCAGAGATTACTTAAAAAATAAACTTCGGGCACCTGAGTGGCTCAGAGTAAGTGTCTGCCCTCAGCTCAAAACATGATCTCCAGATCCTAGGATTGAGCTCTGTGTTGGGCTTCCAGCTCAGTGGGGAATGTGCTTCTCCTTTTCCCTGTACTTCTCCTTCTTCTTGTGCTCTCTCTCTCAAACGAATAAGTAAAAAAATTTTTAAAAAACTTAAAGAATAGAGAAAAAAAAAGACACAAGCTGAAAAAAAATGAAGAAAGAAATAATAAATGTCTGCAGAAATTAATGAACTAGAAAAAAATAGAGAAAGAAACAAGCCAGAAAACCAAGAGCTTGCTTTTGAAAAGAATAATAAAGTTGGATAACTGCTGGCAAGATGACTCAAGAAAAATGAGACAAGATGCAAATATATGAATTATAAAGGGGGTTGTAACTATAAATTTATCACGGATTTTAAAAGCCATAAGAATACTATAAATAATGTGTATATCTGTAAAACTTAAACAAAATGAATGATTTTTCCACGTATATAATTTCTGAACAGTATGTAAGATATGATCCTGCTTTTTATTAACTATATATTTATATGTAACTATTGTAAAAGGAAAAAATGTTCAAATATTTTGTGTTAACTATGGGATACAAATTTAGGAATTTTTATTGTTTTTATCCATCCAAGTTTTCTAATTTTCAACAGTAAATGTAGATTTTAAAACCCACTAAGGGCTGGTTGGGAAGGGATGGAGGAGGGTCACACTGCCTCCAGGACACTCAGAGTTTATATTCTAGTGTCCTTTCATGGGCCTCTTGCTCTGGCAGGGACACCATGCTGTATGATATTCCCCATTCTCTACTCTTCCTTCTGGAGTGAGCTGTTTCTCTAACTTACAGGCTTTCTCACCCTGGGACATAGACCCTTGCATCTATGCAGCCATATCCCATCCTAGGCCCATTTCCAGTCCTTCAAAGTCCAACCTTTCTGGGAGAAGAGGGTTGAGCACAGGAGGCACAGATAGTGATGGGTCTGGTCAAAGGACCTGGGATGTTGGAGTCACACAGATATGGATTTATATCCCTTGTTTGCCTCTTTCTGGCTTTATGGAGTTGGTCCTGTTCCTTAGCTTCTCTCATCTTTAGTTTGTTGGTGATGATGCCATGTTCTAAAATGAGGTGAAGTGTGTGAAGCAACCACCATGTAATGGATGCTCAGTAAACGTGAGTTCTTTCCTCCACTGTTTGCCTGTGGTTATACCTAATTTACTAGTAAGCTTGGAGTGTTGGGAAAGGATGATTCGCGTGTGTGTTGCTGTTGCTTAGCACGTGGGGCTTAGTATTCCTAAACTGGAGCATTGTTGAGGGGCAGAGTTGGAGAGGCAGGGAGTATACGCAATTAATCAGATACCCCAGCAACTAAATGCTGGGTTTCTGCTAGCAGGAGAAATAGTAGCCAGAGACTTTCCATAGACTATAAACATTTTACTAGGGGAAAGGGGGTATGAATTTTCATCTGCTTGCCCAGGAAGAATGTCAAGGTCCACAGAAGGGAACTGCTTTTCCTTTAGGGAACCACACACAGAGGATAGCAGGAGGTGAGACTGCCTTCTGCTGGACTTGTTGGGGGAAGGCAGAGGGTGAGAAAATTCCTGCAATGAGAATTTGAGAACTTTTCTCTGTGCTGGGGGAAGAGATGGCTGGGTGAAGGTCTGGCCATGCATGGAATGAGCCAAGGCATCAGTCAAGTGGGTGGGAATTGAGAATTCAGTCAGAACAGGAATTCAGAATCACAGCTCTTACTCCATGCCATTTTTAAAAATTTAGGGCAGGTGCTAGATTTTCTGCTATTTGTGATGAATGCCTGAACCATTTCGGAAAAGAGGATTCCAGAAAACTGGAGAAATTGGTGGATGTCTGGGTTGGCCATGAAAAGTTGAGTAACATTGTCTCCATGTGCTAGGAGTCTAAAGAAATGACTCCTACAGGTTAGTCCTGGAGTGTTTCATCGCTTCCCACGAGAGCAGAGACTTGCACTGAACTTTGCCACATTGTGCAGAACTTGGGTAAGAGTTTGACAGATCTTTAAGAGTCTTGCGATGAATCAGACCCTAAAAATCAACTTTAGCTTCTGGTTGGTTGAAAAATACCTGTTTGCCTTAAGGGTTTCTTTGGGTACTCTTGACCATGTCCTTCTCTGCAAATTTGGAAATTCCTCTTCTAAGAGGGTGTTCCTCCGCCCACCTCTCTGGCTGCCTCTGTTATTCCTTTCCCTTGCCCCTCTCCTGGTTGTTTGAACATAGTGACTCCTCCTGGCAGCCTTCCCCAGCCCAACTCCTCGCTCAGTTCATACTCACCACATCCGTCCCCAAGGCTGTGCCTCTTCCATGAGTTGAAGGACTCACAAGTTGACGGCCATAGCTGCTGTGTTTTGGGTGCCCACTTCCCCATGAATGTCCTGAGTGCCTTCAAGTCACCATATCCCAGAAAATGAGATGATCTCCCTCTCTCTCATCTATTTAGATGACTGATGGGCTGATGGCCATGACAGGGCTCCCAGTCCCCAGGACTAGATCCTTCATGATGACAGTTAACATCTTGTCCTGCCTCATCACTTGCATCTGGCCACCCTCGCTTCTCCCACACTGCAGTGCAGACAGAGTGGGCTCTCAGGCGGACTGTAGTTGACCCTCTGTGTCTTTCTTAGGTATCAACCATTCCCATCCCTCCACTAACTCTTATCTCTGACTGTCCAAACCCTTAGGGTGAGATGTGATGTTTGTTCCCATGATTCTCTACCTGCTTCCCCACCCCAGCATATTGTCCTCCTGTGAGCCCTCCAGGCCAATTTACCCACACATTCTCATGTTGCAGAACATGCTGTCTTTATATCCCACTTACTGACATCTATGTAATATTCCTCCTCTACACTGTAAGCTCATTGTTAGCAGGATGTTAATCTGAACCATCCCCTTAACTCCCTCAGGATCTGGTACAGATTTGGGCCCAATAAGTGGGTTTTGTGGCTGTCAACACCCCTTGTGCATCCTTGGCTGCCTGTCTACCCAGATTGTGGATAACTCTCTTGAGGACTGTGATGATTCAGCTCTGTGTCCCTGACAGCAGCTGAGCACTGTTTTCGCTTGACCTAAATATATAAGTGTTTAAGTGAATGGTTGAAGATGACCCCATTAATCACTTCCTGTTTATTGTACCTCGAAGAACTGCAACATTAAAAGTTTTGGATAAAGCGGTTTTAGATAAAGCGGGTGAACCTTTATCCAAAGGATAAAGAGGGGTTAGAGATGGAGGAGGGATTCTAGGAGAATGTAGTGTGACAGGAGAGGAAGCCTTTAGATGGAGAGAGGGATCAAAGAAGACAACTGGTTTGATAGCATGGAGGTCTCTGGGAGGCTATGGAAAACCATTTTTCTTTGGAAGGAAAGGAACAGAAGCCAGATTGAAGTACAACCAAGGGAGCTCGATGTCATGACCCTGAGATCATGATCTGAGCCTAAGTCAAGAGTCAGGCACTGAACTGACTGAGTTACCCAGGCTCCCACAGTGAATTTTGACATGCATGTGCACCCAAAGCGATCCCTCTCAGATCCAGACTCAGAACATTCTCTGGCTTCAACAGGCTCCCAGTGCCCTTTCCCAGCCGGGCTTCACCTTCTCTAAACATAGCTACGTTCTGATTTCTAGAACTGTAGACTAGCTTTGCCTATTTTTGAACCTCATGTAAATTGAATCAGGCAGCTTGTATTCCTTTGTGAGCCACTTTTTTTGTTCAAGATTATGTTTATGAAATGCAAACATGTTGATCGTTCTTTTTCATTGCTATGTAGTAATTTTGTATGAATGATGATTACAATTTTAGTACCGAAATATTATTATTATATTTTAGAGAAAACGCCTTTCCTAAACCTAGACTATTATTTTGCCACAAATATGTTTGATTTTGTAATATTTTTATTACACTAAATGGGTCATTAAAACATAAGTGAAAATGTGTCCATTTTCAGAAAACATGATTAAAAACTGTGCAAATAAAAATCAATAAACTCTTAATTTAGTTCCTTTCCATAGAGTTGGACAAGAAGTTGATCTTCTAGAGTCAGGGTGTAGGACAAGGCTGAATGTTAATATTGGACTATGGGAGTAGCAGGGAGTAGCCTCCTTGAGTAGAAAGCTCCCCACCTCATGTGCTGTTTTATTTCTCCCCACTGCTCCTTGCTCCAATGATTTCTAGTGAGATGAGTCAAAAAACGACTAAGGAGGGTCCCAGACTCTCCAAGAACCAGAAGTTTTCAGAGCACTTCAGCATACATTGCTGCCCGCCATTCACCTTCCTCAACTCCAAACGTGAGATCGTGGATCGGAAATACAGCATCTGTAAAAGTGGCTGCTTCTACCAGAAGAAAGAAGAGGACTGGATCTGCTGTGCCTGCCAGAAGACCAGGTAAGTGGTCTGCGCTGCCCTGGGCATCTGCAGGTGCGGCCTGCGGTCTCGCTCCACGCCCCCGCCTGCTCTGCTCTGCGATTTCTGGGCTGCTCGTCCCCCAACGCCCTGCAGTCCGCTCCCCGTTAGACTCTGCCGCTGGAAGGTGCTGCAGGGCGATCGGAAGGTGGGAGGGGGAGCAGGGCCTGCCTCCCGGTTTCCAGCTCCTGTCAGCATCCCTTAAGCAGCAGAGGAGAGCCATGGCTCCAGCCTCCAGCTTCTTTTGGCCCCCTCAGCACCAGCCGCCGTGCAACGTCCCCTCAGAGGCCCAAGCACCAGCCAGCTGCACCCCCCGCCGTGGTCAGAGCGCCGGCCAAGCCACGGTCCCCTCCGGCCAAGCCACGGTCCCCTCCGAGGTTCGAGCGTCAACCACGCCCCCGCCCAGAGGTCCGACCACCACCAGCCAAGCAGCGCCCCCCTCAGAAGTCCAAGCAGCCGCCGCGCAGCAGCCCCCAGAGAGGGCCAGGCACCAGCCGTGGGGGGTCCCCCATCAAAGCTTCTAGGTTCTGGTAACACCATCTCTTCCCTTTTGTTCCCCCAGCCCTAAGGTTAGTAGCTGCCTCATGTATTTACTAACATCTGGGTTACCTCAATGGTGCTCTCTTGGCCTTACCAAACCTGTGTCAATTCCCTGCATTAAATCCCCTCATTTGAAATAACTAGTGTGGCTTGTGTTTTCCTCATAGAGCTGCGGGTACAGGACTTCCGATGGCAGTATCAGTTGCTTCTTTTGTCTAGGAGGACTTGATCGGTTGATTAATTGATCAACTCAGAGATCCACCCCAGTAATAGATTGTGTAAATGAGGCCCTCCGTCACTGTGCCTCAGAGAGAGGAGGAAGGGTGATGAGGGAACTGGTTCAGCCAATTCATGCACCCATCCTCCTGACATTTCATCTGATGTTAATCTCAGTGGCAAGATCCTTCATTCATTCACTTATTAAGTCATTCAACAAACTTGATTGCATACCATAGAGTTCCATATATCATACAGGGGGATGGGACTATAGCAGTGAACAAGCCAGGTTGTGACTCACCAGGATGAAACAAGAGAATAGTTGGTCACTATGTGGGGCGTGATTGCCTTAATATTGTCATAATCAGCAAGTATATGGAGCTATGGGAACCTGGAGCAGGGCTCTGCCCATCTGGGGTCTCACAGAGGAGGTTAGGCTAGGATAAGCAGAGAATAAAAGGAGGCCATGCAGAGACAAAAGGTGAGCCATAGACATGTTTTTGTCTGTCCCATCTGAGACTGGTCAGCTTTTCTCTTTTTTATTTTTATTATTTTTATTTATTTATTTTTATTTTTTTTTAAGATTTATTTATTCATTCAGAGACAGCGAAGAGAGAGGCAGAGACACAGGCAGAGGGAGAAGCAGGCTCCCCGCAGGGAGCCCGATGTGGGACTCGATCCGGGTCTCCAGGATCACACCCCGGGCTGCAGGCGGCGCTAAACCGCTGCGCCACCAGGGCTGCCCCTCTTTTTAAAAATAGACTTCATTTTTAGGTCAGTTTTAGGTTCACAGCAAAATTGAGTGGAAGGTACAGAGACTTCCCTCCCTGCTCAAACACATGGCAGGTCAATCTTTTAGTTCTTTTAATATTTGGAAATTAAGCAGTTTTGCAGATTAATAGTGGGTACTAATTATATTTGAGATTCTCATACCTACTCTGCTTAGCATGTTACTGTGTGCGCATGTCATGGGCTGTTGAATGACTTACAGGGGAATCAACTGAGGAGCATGTTAAAGATGCCCCGGGAGAATCTAATTCCTTGGGTCACCAATGAGGTCTGGAGATCTGCATTTCCAACAAGCAGCACCTCCACCCCAGCATAGTGACACAGGTGGTACACAGACCACCCTTTGAGAAGCACTGATTTAAACCATCCATAAATAAATGATCCACATTGTCTGTAATGTGCAGTAAAGACACGTGGAAGGGGCCACACGTATGACGAAAAGTGAAAGCATTAAAAAGATGCAAGATAAGGTGAGGTTAATTTGTGAAGGAGGTAAGAGGCCTCCAGCCTCTAACCCTGGAACAGGAAGTTGCATGCTAAGTTAATTAGTCATTAACTAGTCATTAATTAATTAACTAGTCTCCCAAGGGGCCTAAGTCCAAGAGGGCTGGCCAGGTAAGATAGGAAGTGTGAGAAGCAGGGGAAACTAATTATTATTATTTTTTTAATAAATTAATTTTTATTGGTGTTCAATTTACCAACATACAGAATAACACCCAGTGCTCATCCCGTCAAGTGTCCCCCTCAGTGCCCGTCACCCATTCACCCCCACCCCCCGCCCTCCTCCCCCTCCACCACCCCTAGTTCATTTCCCAGAGTTAGAAGTCTTTATGTTCTGTCTAGGGGAAACTAATTAGATACAAGGCATGTCATCTGTGGGGGTGCCTTCAAGCCACCATTTGCAGCGAGTTGCGTGATGGCTGCTTGGATGGCTGGGAGTTCAAGCAGTACACAGACAGGAGATGGAAGACCGTTAAGGCCAGCTTTATCTGTCTGCACCCAGCCTGCTGGTTTTATTCACCTAAACTCCAGAGGCATCCTAATTAATGTTGGCGTAACTTGATTTCCTGTTAACTGTTCTCAGTGGGTATCAGGCCGTCTTTGCCTCCTCAGTCCTCGTTTCTCACCCGGGATAGGGGACCCAAAAGCCTCCATTTATAATGTTCCACTACATAGAGGATGGACCATTGGAGTTCTTCCCGAGATACTTATTTTTCCTTCTCAGATTTCCAAAGGTCCTGAGGAAAAGCATTAGAGCCATTGCTTCACCATGTTATTTATTCCCTCTGTTGATACTGGTTAACTATCCCAAGTCAAAGGGGTGGGAGGAGTGTTAATGGGGAAAAAATTCACTCTTAAGCAGAGCTACTAAATTGCACTTGGAGAAAGGGTCAAAGAAGAGTTTCTGAAACAGACTTGCTTTCTGAAACGGTGCCATTCCTGAGTTCTGGCCTTTAAAGATAAAACAAAAATTGACAAAGGCCTTTTGAATCCTTACTAATTCCCTTGGATAGATCTCAAAAAACCAGAGAATATTTATATCTTAGGACGTGATTGGTATAATTCCATGCCGCCTAATTGAACATGGTAGAGTTCTTGTATCTGATGGGAGGAAACCTTGGCATCTCCCTCTTAATTTATTCTACTCTCAATTCCTCAAAATTTTAGGATTTCACAGGTCATCCTTGCCTTTAGGGTTAACACATGTTTCCTGGGCCAACTTTCTTTTGGTTCCTTGGTGTTTTGCTTTAGGAGCATGGGATCTGTGGTTTTGTGACTGATTTGGGGCAAGTCACACAACTTTGAGCAGTGTGATGTATGCCTTTGACTCATTCCTTCACAAAATGTCTTGTACCAAATTGAGCCCTGCACATCAGAAACTTGGAGGACCAATCTATTTCTACATGTATTTGCAAACTTATTCATCAAGACTATGTGCACAGCACTGCTCCAAGCTCTGGGCAATCAAAGGAAATGATATATGCCCCTGGACCAGCTGCTCGTGGTATTTATGAGTGCCCCCCGCCCACCCCATGTGATGCTGCTCTTCCCTCCAAGAATCACCCCAAGCTTGGCTGCTTCCATACTGCCTGCTCCCCGCCTCGTCCCTCTTCTCCTCCAGCCACTTTTTTTGCTCTCTTGTCTCACTTCGGCAGATGATAAAATCAAAGCCCAGGAAAGTAACTGATTGCTAGAGGGTTAAGGTTCTAAGTGGCTTCACGTTCTCCACAGAATTTGGTCTTTTGGAGACAGAGCACTTTAGTTTTGACTCTCAAATTGAAGCAAGCAGGGTTTGGTGTTTTACTGACCATGCATTGTCCTGAGCTAGACATGGTAGTGCATTGCTTCTAAAGGTTAGGACAAGTACACCCACTGAATGACTACGTGCTACGTGCTCGTTACATTGGTAATGGAGTAGAAACCACTCTACTTTTCCTTTGTACTGTAGAAGAAGATATATGTGTCAAACAACAATGCAATTATAAACACTTACATACTTGATGAGCTAGAATTTACTTCTGAAGAGCACTGACCCAGAGCAATTACTCTGATGGTCTGAGAGTGTGCACTGACAGAACCAGGTATCGGGGCTAAGATTCAACTGTCAGGGGAACCTGCCTGCTTTTTAGGTGTGCAGGCCCAAATTATTTCAGACTCTTTCTATGACATGACTTGTCCTCACCTTGTCCTTCCTGATGCCAAAAGGTACACTACATTTTGTTCTTCTGGAAAACTGTGGATCATTTTCTCTTTCCTTGTGCAGGACTGACTAAACTTCTGGTCCCTTTTCTGAGTTCTCTTTGTATTTACAGAAGCAAAAAACCTACTCTGTACTCCTTTCTTACATGCTTGTGGAAAAATCCCACCCAGGCATGTATTAGGCTTAATTGCATCCCAGTGTTTATGCCCTGGCGATCTATTTTTGGTCTCTCATCAGCCAAACAGAATCGGAAATTCATCATTTCTCAGATAATGCCAGGGTTAGGGAAAAGGCCTGAGCATTTTGCTCTTTGATCAGGTTCTGGCTCTGCCTGCCTCTCAGGTCACATTATTGCTTTTATGAGTTTCGATGACCGAACTCTTGAGTTTTGCCCTAAGTCATAAATCCCTTCCTGTCCAGAAGCAGGCTTCTATACATTGTGCTGGTCCCCATAGCACAGGGCCTGTGCAGAGCAGGCATTCGCAGAGGCCTGGGTTAGCCAGAGAGACCTCTGGTCTGATGAGCTGTTTGTGCTCTTCCATTCTGATGTCCTTAGTCTGGAGCACATGGTTAACGACTCTCTGTAACAGACTTAATGCCATTGTTGCCCATCCTCCGGCCACATTCATTCCACAAATCCCTCACATAGATTAAGCTGATGATCCACGTGTACTACTCTGGCTTCCAGCTGCTGAGATGAGTCATGGATACAGAGAGCTGCTGAGTACAGCTAGGAAGAGCCTCTAGCCTTAAGGGTTGGTGCTAGCATGAATGGATGAGCACGATGGATGAGCACCTGTGTCTCTCCAGGCTAGTTTGCCTCCACAAGCCCCAACATGTCAGGATATGCATCTGTCTTTCAATCCTTCCTGTCAGCCCCGGAGGAGGAAGCATTTTTTCCTGATCAGATCAACCCTTCCTTCCTTCCACTCAAGTGTGATCTGTGTGATCTTCTTTCCTCTACTCGCGTTTCCTCCAGGGTCTTACTGTACCTCCCTGACAACTTTAGCCTTTTTCTAGTGTCTAAAGAGAAAGCACTTCAGCTTTTAAACATGTCCAGCTATCTCTTAATGACTGAGTTCACCTCTGGTTCCTGTTTTGTCTCTCCTTTTCTCAAACAAAGTTTTAAAAATAGTGTAAATTCATCACCTTAACTTTTCTATATTGCATTTACTCTTCAACTTACTGTGCTCTGATTCTTCCCCATAGCACTTCACTGTAATTTCTCCTGTGCAGGTTCCTCCAGGAGCAACCATGCAAGGGCAGGAAGTTTGGGAGGCAAAG